TGAAGAAAACTTTCAAACTTCAAGTCAACCCATGTTGTTTCCCGAACTACAATTCCAAAATTCTGAATCGTCAAAATTAAATCTCAATCTTGAATTAGAAGAAATTAATCTAGATGAACTACACCAAATTAAATCAAAATTCGTCGAAAATGAACCAATAACCAAGTTCCAAGGAGTGCGCTACACCCCCAGTATATGGACAATATTTATGTATTGTTTTTTGGCCTTACTAACAGGAGTTTTTGTTGTTAGAAAAATCTCAACCTGTCGTAAGCCAGTAAATCAAGAAGAAGTACCAGTAGACCTTACCACCGTTCAACTACCTCGCTAACCTTTTGGAGTTGAATCTTCGAGGGGAGGAATTACATCAGCCCTAGTAACAGATCCTGCAGATGTCGGCGTTATCAGAGTTACCAGTTTCTAGGAAACCGCTGATTAGAACTTTATGCATTTTATCTAGTTTTCTCATTTTTAACATCATTATACATTTATATTTCTTGTAGTACAGATCGTAGTTGTAGAATTTTAACTTAGAAAAAATAATTAAATTTTTTAAAAAAGCTATTTTCAATTTGAAAGTTTATTTTTGGGTACTTGTGAATGGCGATAAAAGATAAAGGGTGATTATATAAAAAAATATGTATTTGAGTGCTGACTCACCATGTACAGATGTTTCGATTTGAAAAAATACTACGTTGGTAAAAATCGAAAACTTTTACGGCAAAAAAATTATTTTCAATTGTTTCTTTTGCAGGTCATTTTCATATAAAACTGGTTATAGCGTGTGAAATACCATACTACTTGGTATTGTTATAATGAAAAAAACGAGAGAAATTTGAACATAAAATAAAATACAGGGTCCCATTTAACGAAACCTATCTTAGATATGTATCATTATTATTAGAAATTATTTTTAAATGATTGCCTTTTCTTAGTTTCGATTATACAGACCAAGGCGTTACCTGAGGCCCCCTTGTATACTTAGATACAAACAAAACAAACAAAAAACTGGAAACAAATCTTTCCGAAAGTAAGTAGAATTTTTTTCTATACATACAAAATGAAAAACTGGACACGAATCTTTTACAAAGCTAAGAGAAAACTTTTCTATACACTTTCTTTTTTTTCAACTTGCTTTTTTCCCATTTCGTTATTTAATTAGTCAGCTAAGTCTATATTCAACCATTATATATTATATAAAAAAGGGGTAGCAGACTCATTAAAGAGAAATATTGTGCGTGTCGTTACTTTCAAAGCGTATACAACTTCCAAAAAGCCGTCGAAGAACTAATCTTCTCCGAGTGCTTCGCTCTTGCAATCATGTATTTAATTAATTTAATCAAAAGATATACGAAACGTTCCATTCTAGCCTGCAAATAGACTATTAAGTAGACAAAAGTATTGTGTTACTGAGGATGAGTTAATAGGGAGAGAGAGATATTGTTGTCGCAATTTATGGCTAAGAATATTTTGAGACTTCTGACACCAGGCGTACCTATCGCAGTTAGTTTAGAGTTTGAGCAAGCGGTTTACGCCAAATATGAATTTAATGTAAATTAACCGACAAAACAATTACCATGTTGTCAAGACAATCTAGATTGCCAGTTAATGGCAATTTGGCAAAATTAAAAATTTATACAATACATAGCTTCAGAAATAAAACCTTCAAGAGCAAAAGACAAAATTTTTAGAAGTAGGGACATGTTATATACGAGGGTCATTCAATAAGTAAAGAGACAAATGGCTATAGCTCAAAACAGGTTTATTACAATCTTTCAAAATTAAGGCTATTTTTCAACATAATCACCCCCAACAGTTATGAACTTGTCCCATCTTTCTTGCAGCTTCCTAATTCCCATGGCGAAGAATTCTTTCGATTTACCCCGAAGCCACTTTTGCACCGCTTCCTTAACTTCCTCATTGTTAGCAAATCTTTTTCCACGTAGGGCTTCTTTGAGTGGTGCAAACAGGTAAAAATCAGATGGGGCGAGGTCGGGACTGTAGGCAGGATGAGGTAAGACCTCCCAACCAAATTCTTGAAGTTAATCACTGGTCAGCTGGGCTGTATGAGGGCGGGCGTTATCGTGCTGAAGAATGACTCCTTTTGACAAGAGTCCACGGCGTTTGCTCCTGATAGCTGGTCTAATTTTGTGTTCTAGCATCTCAGAGTAGTATTGGCTATTTATAGTTCGCTGATCTTCAAGAAATTCGTAATAGACTGGACCCTGTGAGTTCCAAGAGATGGTCAGCATCACTTTACCGGCGGAAGGTTGAACCTTGAATTTTTTGCGAATAGTGTGTGTTTCCACTCCATACTCTGCCTTTTGGTCTCAGGATCGTAGTGATGGATCCAGACCTTTTTTCACTTGGTTTTACACCTTCTGCGACTACAAATCTAATGACTGAGCGCTGCTCTTCTAAGGTGCAATCTTCTAGTGGACTTGCCATGGTGAATTGAGAATTTTGAGGTTATGTTGACATAAAATGAGGCCTGTAGAGTATTGTATTATAAATAAATAAATAAAATGATGAAACAGCTGATCAGAGCATATCCCAAGGTTGCCAACTAACACCCCTGAAAAGATTGTACAATTCATTGAATAGTTTTAAAATTATAGAATTTGTCTCTTTACTTATTGAATGACCCTCGTAACTACGAGTATAATTTTGTGAATTTTCATTATTAGTGTTTAGTCCTTTCATGTCTTAAAAAAAAAACAACCTGTCTTATACATTATGTCAGCATTTGCTGCATTTTTTTTTTATATTGATAAGATAAACGATAGATTCAAAATGGAATGGTCAATAAATTAAGTTTATTGCTATTGTTGCTTTTTAATATTCATTCACAATGGTGTCGAGCAAATAACATTTTGTATATGTTGCATCGTCAGTATAAAGTATATATTGGGTCCTATGATTGAACGTTTACGTTATCCGTAACGTACATGTTAGGCCGAGTTTTAACAGTAACGAGGCAAGTTCGTATGATGGAAAACTTTTTCCAACACATTACTGTTACTTTCCGCCTGTTATGTTATAATTTAACAGTTTTCCATCATACGAACTTGCCTCGTTATTGTTAAAACTCGACTTAACATGTACGTTACGGATAACATAAACGTTCAATCATAGGACCCATTATCTACTAATAATTTAGCAACTAAAATCATTGATGAATATACTAAAAATATAATTTGACGGTAATGCCTAAACTGGAAACAAATTTTTCAGAAAGCTGAGAACGTTTTTTATTCTTACATACGAAAAAAAAAAAACGGAAAACGGAAGTGATTCTTCCATAAAGCTAGGAACATTTTTTCTATCCGTAATTACGAAAAAAAAACTAGAAACGAATTGTTCAGAAAGTCAGGGGAATTTTTTTCTATACTTATATACAAAAAGATAAACTAAATGAATTATTCAGAAAAGTATGTGTTCAAAATCTAATGAAAATCCTGCTGATTGTATATCCAGAGGAATGGATCCAGTAAAACTATCAAATCACATCTTATGGTGGAAAGGTCCTGAATGGTTGCAAGAGACGAAGCAATGGCTTAAAACTCCAATAGCTACTTCTACAAACGAAGAACTAAAGATATTTTACCATACCAATGTTAAATATAGCGATAGGATATGGTGCAGATTTTCAAGCCTAACACGAATGATACGAGTCCTATCATATTGCAGAAGATTTTTGAAAGATGGCACCTACAATGGTCCGTTAAAATATGAAAGACCAGACACCAATCAGTGCAAGATCAAAAAACATAGAGCTGCTCAAATAACATGGAAACAGCTTCACATGCCCAATACTTGGCTCTTTTTCACCAGTAAACCAACCAACGCGGCCGTCATATGTCAAGGGATACGAGAAGATGTAAAACTCAATTCGACTGGAATTATTCAGATATCACAGGACTGCATTATAAAAACGAAAAAAAAAAAAAAAAAACAAAAAAAAAACATTTTATCTCCAAAAAGATTGGAAACTGTTTCTGTCCTAGGGTAGCTACTCAAAGGCTCTAGCGCCTACTATCAACACAATAGAATTGCCGTCACATGACACGATCGCAGAAGAAACTGTGTTTAAACTTACTGATAACTTAAAAGATATACGATCTAAAGAAGAGGCACTTCAAACAAAAATTAAAGAAACAACCTGGAAAAAACTACATCAGCATACGTATCTATCTAATGGGGTAACTGCATTATTAATCATAGGAGTCGTAGCCTTCTGTATATGGAAATATGGAATATTATAGCGTAGTAGAATGAAGTATTGCTTTGCAAAGTCATGTTTTAAAATATTTTCATCACTTCAATCCCTAGTCACTATTGCATTTTATTGGTGACTTCGTTAAACCGGGTATTTCGTAAATTTTTAATGTGAATTGGTCCTGGCAACACTAGAACTACGAAAAATCCAAATACAACACTGGAATTCGAAAATAATATGTCAGTCAACGTGTACTAGTTTAACACAACAACGCGTATCCCGGGAACCAACCCCACAATACTACAATTGGATGTCACTGTCAATGTGGATTAAAAAAATAAACAGAATAACCAGTGCGGTAAAAACAAAAACCATGAACGGTCAATTGACCCAATAAGAAATACGAAAATAATATACAAGGGATAAGATTTTAGCGAGTGCAATCTAAAGCAACGATATCAAGCATAAATTATTCTGTAGTAAATACAGTGCGACAAAATCCACCGTCGCACATAGGGATATTTGAATATAAAAATCGGACAAAAGTCATTAGAAACAAAGTAAACAATTTCCGAAAATCGTTCACGCCAAAGCCTACTTAGATGCATAGAGAACAAAAATCGACCGCCCATTTATTTTGATTGGTTTGTCATAAGTCATATATGTCATTATCTTATTTTCTTGCAACGAACACGTAAAAAATCAAATTTAACGCTTTAAAAGACCCGTAATCAGTTCTCTTTTTAAACAAGCTGTAAATTTAAGAGTGGTTATTTTTATTATGGATATTATTAAGCCAGGTATGTTCTATTCATGTAAATTATTTATTTTAAAATAATACGTTAAAAATAATATATATTCTTCAAGCTAAAGTAACTTTTAAGCTAACTAAACATAGTATTCCGAAAATTGCCTATTGTATTTTTTTTTAATAACGATATCATTTTAAAAGATAAATTTATGTATTAATTTTTTATTGAAATGTCATCTTTTATTTCTTTTTAAGATGGTTCTGTTGTCAAAATAGTAACACGAGAATACCTATATAATATGGCGAACAAAAGAGCAGCAAGAGAGGTTTCTAAAAGTTGTATTTTTTTAAGAATGAGATAATAATTCACAAACCTACTTTTCCAAAGAGTTTTTGCGAACATTTTCTTAATTAAAACGGAAATGAAGACTAAGTGACATGCTGCCAACAGAACAGGTTTTCTAAAAAAAAATAGCGATTGGTTGCATGGGACCGTAGAAATACCTGTCAAATGTACTTGTAAACCGGGTCGGCCAGCAAAGGCGTTCGTTTACTTGTGTGACAGCAGCAAAAGGCACAAAATTAAAACTTTTAAATATATAATGAAGTGAATGAGCTTCGTATATGCTACTCAAATGAAACTTAGATAGATATAGTAAACAAGAGACTGCAAAAGTCAAGGGTATTACCACAACTACCAGAGGTGCGAAATATCTCAAAAACTATAAAAGAATATAGGTAATCAAAACCACAACTTACACCCATTCAAGCGCTATTTATTTTCGCAGAAGCGTCTCTATCGAGAAAACAGTATGAGATCATGCAAACAGCCAAAAAAGACTGTTATCCAGTCCAAGAGAGTGACTGCAACGAGTTCAGAAGTCCGATTGCAAGATTTACTTAATCACAACGATTATTGTTATACCTCCAATACAAGAAACATCTTCATTCGAGCTAATTTGCAAGTGGGGATGCGATGCTTCCCAACCGACTGAATATAAACAAAAATTTTAAAACATTACAGACTCTGATGCAAAAATTGTTCAGTGCCATTTCAACTTATTTGTCGCAACAGTAAAAGTGTGATATGGCAAAACCCGACACTATCCTGGCCGCGCTGTTGCCGACCAACGAGAATCAAATTTGTTCACGACACTTGTGAAATTACTAACAAGGAAATATAATATTTCAATGATCAGATCAGGCGTTTAGATGAAACAAAGGTAGCAATCGCAAGAAGAGATCTGACCATAAAATATATAATGCTGTTCACAAAGGTTGACGGCAAAATTTGTAATTCAGCTACCCAAAGAAAATCAACAATGAGATGCTATATTTGTAAGGCCACTTCTAAAGATTTTAATAAAGTAGAAACATCCCAAGGAGTGGACTTAAACAATCCTAAATTCGGCTTGTCTGTGTTACACGCAATGATAAGATTTTTTGAAACTTTGCTTCATCTTTCGTACAAGATAACTGTACAGAAGTGGCAAATAAAATTACAAACCGATAAAGAAATTGTTAATCAAAGACAAAAAGAGATTCAAAAAAAATTTCGAACTCAGCTTGGTCTTATTGTTGATGTTCCCACTGTAACCAATGACGGAAACATTAGCCGAAGGTTTTTTGAGAAACCACAAATATCTTCAGAAATCACTGGGATTGATCTCAGGTTAATCAAAAGATTTGCTAGTATATTAGAAGTGATTTCCAGTGTGGGCATAAGATAAATGTTGAAAAATTCGCAATAGTTTGCCATGATAGAGCATTAATATATAATTAGTTTTACTCCTGGCATCCTATCCCACAATACACAAAATACTAATTAACGACCCTCTTGTAGTTCAGCATGCCCTGTTACCTATTGGAACATTGTCGGAAGAAGCAGCTGAAGCGAGAAATAAACACTTCCGACAATTTCGCCAAAATTTCTCGAGAAAGTTTTCTCGGGAACAATATAACCAAGACATTTTAAAAAGGATGCTTTTAACATCAGATCCCTTAATAAGTCGCATAAGACCACAACCATGGAAATGTTATTACCAATTGAAATTGAGGCCCCGAACAAAAATGACGAAAATGTGATAGATTTGTTGGATGACACAAATGATTCCTTTAATGAAGAAGGATTCATAGAATGAGTCCCACCATCCTCTGAATAACTTTAAGCTACTTATGATAAATAAATATACTACTTTACTACTAATTTTTGTCTCATTTTTTTTTTATTGATTTTCCTGAAACTGTTGCTTTTTCACTGATCTATATTTGCTATTTTCCAAAATATATTGCATGAGAACTTTATTGTAAATATCACTGTTTAGGACTTATATGTCAAGTGAAACTGAAAAATAATTTTGTCTGCTTTTTGGATCAAATACCCCTCTGTGTCTCTTAGTAACATTTATTGACATATTTCAAATTTTGGTTATTTAACAAAAACAAAATTTACCCTCATTTTTTTAAACTTTTTTTCACGTTTCCGATCATTTTGAGTCCGAAAATGTAAAAAAAATATTTTCATCTGGTCGTCTGTGCGTATGTATGCTGGCACAATAACTCTAGAACGAAAGTTCTGATTGTCTATTGATTTTCAGAATTTTCGGTTCATCCTAACTACTCTAATATCAATGTTCTTAAAATCCACCCATGCATTTATTATGTGACTTATTTTACGCATTTCAATCATTCCTAACGTCTAACATTCCATACAGTGCAAGCATTCTAATATTAGGCACTCCAACGACCTGTTAATCAACAGCTGTTGATTGTAAAGGTCAGATTTCTAAGGGGGGTTGCGACCTTCATAGTTGCAATCATAGGCTATTTTTATTCGAAATAGTAGAAAAAATATAAAATACGAAAAATCGAAAAAACCAAAAATAGAAAAATCAAAAAATCGAAAATACCAAAAATCGAAAAAAAAAAACAAAAATCAAAACATCGAAAAATGAATTTCGATATTGGAAATGAAATGTCTAACTCCACCAGAAATAAAAGAAAATTGTGTCAAGGAATGCATTGCCAGAAAACCAAAAAAATTGTATGTGGCGGCGTATGAATCTCCCTTAAATTAGTTAAAGAAAAAACATAAAATCGTATTCGGAATCCGTTATGTTAGTATATTTTACAGAACTATCTACAAAATATAAATCATCAACCTCAAAAGAGACCAATTATTCAATAAGTACTATCCAATATACATCAAGGAATAAATATAAAAAATTATACGGAACTACCAACGTCATTAAAGCAAAAAAGTGATGGTATTCAACCAAAAAAGGCTAATACTCTCTCACGAAAATATTGCTTCATTAAGGTTCATATATTACAAAAACAACTTAAAACATTTTTAATTACCGATAATTTTTAGTAGTTGTCCAGCACTACTATTTTTAAACTAGCAGAACGATAAATTTTTATAAGTAGGTAAGCTTAAGCGACAGTGGGTGCAAATATTTGTACTTGAACAGATCTAAGGAAGTAAAGGAATAATATAATTTTACATGGACATATTTAAAAGGGACCAAATATTTTTAGATAAATAGGCGAAGTAAGGAGCCCAAATATTTTACATGAGCAGGCTTAAGAGGTAAAGGGGCCAATTATTATTGGATAAATTGCTCGAACAAGTTTGTAAACCCTAATCAAAAGGCAATATAGAATGGTTTTAAAAATCAAGGCTTGTGAAAATCATCACATGGTTTAACCTAAGTAATGCCAATGCTTCACAAACCAAAAAATTCAACGTGCTAATACTACTATCGGCTTTCGGTATTTCGTTCCAAGTTAAATCATTTCTCGTTTTCTTTAAGCTACTTGTTTACTCTTGTGGGCCTCAGTCACGATAAGGTGGGAACCACCATTTTAGCGTCTCTCGAATTACAAGTTTAATTTAGTTTAACTTTTTTTTTTGTTAAATTTTAAGACAAAATATTAAATTTATGGGCAAAATTTTTAAGTCAAAATCCTACTTGTTTTATTTTAACAACTAAACTTTTATTATGATGCATTTAATTGAAATTAAATAGCTATAAAGCGTCGCCGTAAATTATGCGCGGCCTCATTCTAACTATTAATCCATGCAAAAGCATTTTTAAAAGTAACAAATATGCAAAGCGGCTTTCAGAAAATGTAAATCTGTTTTTATACCTGGATAAAAACACACAATCACTCTAATCCGACGCGACCTACATTCGCTCTATTCAGAAAAAAACCTCGAAACTCTCGCTGTTCTCTTCAGACTTCGTAGTAGTACAATATTATTATTCGAAAGTTTAAAACGCCTTTCGCGGTAATTTTATAAAAAAAAGCGCGACTAGAAAAGCTGCTCGCTCTTGTGACAAAAACCTTTTCAGCGTATTAACTTTTTAATAAAAACCCAACATAAACAACGCACAAACTCATTTCCAAAGCTTTGAAATACTTTCGAGGAATAACGAAGCCAAAACTCTCTCTCTCTCTCAATTTACGGTTTAAACTTGTTTTTGTTGTGTAACTTCGAAAATTAACGGAGTATTGAGATTAATAACAATGTTTACACCGAATAAAAAAAAGTCGTTAATGAGTTTAGAGAGCGTGACGTGGTTTTAAACTTCGTTGCGCAGTTATATTCCAGATTAGGGGTGATTTTATAGGCAACGTATAATAATTAGTATTTTTTTGCTTATTAATAGTAGAAATAAGCGGGTTCTAAGTCCGTTTTTGCGGTTTCTATATCACTCACCAATAGTATGTATAAGTAAGCCCACACTACAATTAAGATCCCGTTCTTGCAGGTTCTAGACCACCCGTCCATGACACAATCGGGTTCTAGAATCAAAGTTAAACTCTCAAGAATCCAGTTTTAGGGGTTCTAGATCATTCACCAATAATATAAGCGGGTTCTCCAATAAAGACAGTTTTTGCGGGTTCTTAATCACTCGCCAGTAAAAAGGCGGATACTACTTCGGGTTCTATTATCAAGACTTCATTTTTGCAGGTTCTAGATCACCTGTCAATGACACGCGATTCTACAATTAAGGTAGAAAAAAGGCTAATAATATAAGTTCTACAATATACGTTTTACGGGTTCTAGGTCATCCGTCAATAACATAAAAGGGATCTACAATTAAAACAGAACAAATTGGGTTCTATAATAAAAGTCCGTTTTTGCGGGTTCCAGATCACTCGCCAATAACATAAGGCGGGTTTTATACGATCAAGTGTACGTTTTTGTGGGTTTCAAAATTACTCGCCAATAACATAGGGCGGGATTTATACGATCAAGAGTACGTTTTTGCGAGTTTCAAAATTACTCGCCAGTAAAATAAACGGGCTCTACACTACAATCAATATTCTATTTTTAGGGGTTCTAGATCACCTGTCAATAACATAAGCAGGTCCTACAATTAAAGTAGAATAAAGCAGATTCTACAATCAAGATTCCATTTTTGTGGGTTCTAAATAATACGCCAATAACTAAACGGTTCTACATTCAAAGTACAAAGTGCAGTATGATTAGAGTCCGTTTTTGCGACTTCTAGGTCATTCGCCAATAACGGAAATGGGTTCTACAATCAAAGTAGAACAAAGCTGGTTCTACACTCAAAAGTCTGTTTTTGCAGGTTGTGGATCGCTCGCCAGTAAAATAAGCCGGTTCTACACTTTAATCAAGGCTCCATTTTTGCAGGTTCTAGAACACCTGCCAATTACATAAGCGTATTCTACAGAGGTAGAACAAGCCGGTTCGACAACCGTTTTTTGCTAGTTCTAGATTACTTCTCCAATAACATAAGTGTGTTCTACAATCAAGAGTTCGTTTTTTCTGATTCTAAATCACTCGCTAGTAAAATAAATGGGTTCTACACTATAATCAAGACTTCATTTTTGTATGTTCTAGAGCACCTGCCAATAACAAGCAAGTTCTACAATAAAAGTAGAATAAAGCCGAATCCGTTTTTGTGGGTTCTACAATCAAGAGTTCGTTTTTACGGGCTTTAGATCACTCTCCAATAATAAGAAGTGATCTACATAAAAAATCTAAAGTAGGTCTTGGAAAAATTCACGAATTTCGAGGGAATAATTCTCCTTTTTAATTGTCAGTTTATATTTAATCCAGTGCCGATCGTAGTTATCACCGACATGACTCGTATCTTTGTCTTTGTCTATCATAGCCTACTTTAGAAACTATTTTTTGTGGATCAATCTTTATAAGCCTACACTAAAATCAAGAGCCAGTTTTTGCGAGATCTAAATCATCTGCCAATAATAAACGATTCTACAATCAAAATAGAACGAATTCGTTTCAACAATCAAGAATCCGTTTTTGCGCATTCTAGATCATCTGCCAATAACATAAATAGGTTCTATAAACTAAGTAAACACAGAGAGATTCTACAAACCAGTAGCGGGTTCTAATACACCAATAATAGAAGAGGATTCTAGTACACTCGCAAATAATAGACGCAGGTTCTAGTACACTCGCCAATAATAGAGACGGGTTCTACAATCAAGTCTATTTTTGCAGGTTCTATACTAAAGTTAAGAGTCCAGTTTTTATGAGCTCTTGACTTGATCATACCAATAATAAGCGGGTTCCATAATCAAGAGTCTATACAACAGGTTAACCGATGAATCTTTCGAAAAAAATATAAGACGCTTAATTATATTTGCAAGAGAGAAATAACGAGA